GAGGATGATATATAAATACCTATAATGTAAGTCTTTATATACCTTTTTATATACCTACCTAGTATGTAAATATTTGCCTATGTCAAACGTTGGAATTCTGTAATTTTTCCATTGCGTAACTTTCAGTCAACATAAATTAAACTCCCAATATAAGTATTTTTTATCCCAAATCAAAAAAATAAGAAGATAGTAAAATCAATTTATTGTGATATAAAAACATTATTATTATCGTTCTAAATAAATCACCGCACGCGTATGATACGTCATGAAATTACAAAGGACGCGCCGACCAAAGGTTTTTATGCTATTTCAAGTGACTTCAGATATACCATACTTTTATAATTGTTATTATATATATATAAGATATTCGTCGTAACTGACATGACCTATGGATCGATTTTGACTATTAATATGGGCCTTGGCTCGATTAGGGGCCTAAATGCCCAAAAATTACACGAAATTTTTAAAAAAAAGTTTCAGTACGACTCTTCCCTATTCAATTTTCCTTAGCGGCAAAGACGGTCTCCGGATTCCTTTGTGTCCAGGGATTCCTTTGTGTCCAGGGCCCCCTACATACCTAACTCGCCCCTGACTGACCCCAATACTGTTTCTGATACATATTAATTACAGCCTTTCCTGTACGATAACATTTGATCCACACCAGGTGTACGCATTCAAAATGACAAATTGATCTCTGTGTCGTAGCTGGAGACTGGAGAGAAAGAAACCTGGTAGTGGCCTCGTCTTTAAGGAAGACCTGGAAGATGACACGGCGTGAGGACGCAACAATTTGGTGCAAATTAATGATTCAAGCAGTTCTGTGCTTTAAATAACAAGACCCAGGCTCATACCCGGTTTCGATTAATGCTTGAGCTCTGCCAAGAAGCCAATGTTTCGGCTTGTCGATGCACACATCATCAAGGATATGGTCCATAACCCTGGAAAACGCCCACATAAGCTCCGGTCTGGAATACTGTTTACATGTCCGGGGTGTAGCTGCTTTGACAAAACTTTGCACACATGCCCTAGTTCAGAAGTATTCCTAATTTCTGTTTTGACGGCATCACTTAGATCATCGATCTTGCATTTTTTGATTTTGTGAGTTTCCCCAGGTGTTACTACCTTTCTTATTTCCTGATTGTATTCGCTGAACACTGCGCAGACTAATCTTCAGAGAATCTGCTACTCTCTCCAGTACGCATGAAGTGGGTAACAGGGGACCGCTGTTTGCACTCTCTTCTTGGAAATACTCTAACAAATTTAGCTTGCTTGCCAGTCGCTAGTAATACACCTCTACTTGGATAATCCTCATGCTAGTCGGATAAAAGTTGCTTTCTGTGTCCGTCTGGTTATTTTTATCACGGTGCTATTTTTCCCAGAATTATGTTAGGTCATACAAGTATTCAAAGATAATATTCTGAAAGTTTCAAGTCACTTTGTACCAAAAAAATACACGTGACTGTGGGTAGGGGGGATAAGCTCACCGTGTATCGCCAGAAGGCAATAGGTCAAAACGTTGCTAAACATCGCGAGATTAATGGCCGAGCCCTTATTTCGCTTAAATTCAACGAGAAATGGTGCGTAGGTTGGTATAATCTGTAGCATGTAAGATTTAACAATCCTTGGGTAATTGAAGGCGTTGTTTTTACTTTTCACTTGTTCCACATTCTATCATTTTAAATTCAGCTTAAAGGTACCCCAGAGCGGAGCGCTTGGATCTGGAAAATATTTTTCTACCAACGTGCGAAAAGTACTCACTTTCAACACGCATCTGCGTGCAGAAAGTAGCACTTTTCCGCACGCATAACTTTTACGTACGCATAACTATGAATAATTTTTCCGCATGCATACATTTCCCGCACGCATTACGTGTTATTCTTAAATCCATAATAAAACATAGTACCTATTTAAAATTCTGGGTTTATTATTTTCTCGCGCTGTTAAAAAAAAACGTGTATTTTCCGCCCTTGACGGCTTGCCCGCCTGCCGTCGCGTGCGAAAAAGTATCACTTTTCGCACTTGTTAGGTAAATAACTATTACATATGCCATTTTTGAGGCGGTATTGAGACGTGTTGAAAAGATGAACGCATTAAAATGGGAAAAGAAGAAAACATAGGGAAACGGTCGTGTAGATCACGCGACCACAGCTAATATGAAACTTTTATGTATGCAATTTACATAACCTCACTTATTTTTGTCAAGTTATATTTTCCCCGTATACTAGTGCTCTGATATGTCATTATACACAGCCAATTAGCGTGGGAAGTGGAAAGGGTGGATATAGAAACCGCACAGTCTGGCAACGCGGCCTCCGCAATCGTTCGCCATGACAGTTATCACCGGCTACCTTGACCTGCTCTACTCGCCGCTCTCCTCCCCCATCCCACCCCAACAATATACCGCGCCAAGGACGATCCATGAATGGGGGAGGCATCAGCAGTCTCGCTCTCCCCACCCCCTCCACAACAACCCTCAAAATCCCGCGCAATAGTGCTCCCCTACTTTTCCCGGGTGAAGGTTGATTTAGGATGGGAACGAGATGGCGGGAATGTTGGGATTCCGGGAAGCGATAATACTGAAACATTTCGAGTTCATGTGAACCTTGCAAATGGAATACACGAACTCTGTTTGTTTAGAAAAATTTGTATTAAAATAGATCTCACAAGCCCCTAATCATTTTTGAGTGTGAAGTAAGATATGTATCTTACTTCACACTCATATCCATATGTATGGATTTCACATTTCTACTTCCCACAATTGGCGAAAAATTGACCATTTTCATTTGACGTATTTGTCTCTTTGTCGTCCGTCCAGTAAGCCTCTATAAAACCAGCCATCTACGAGGTCTGTGAATTAAGTGATGCGACCTTGTTAATTTTTTTTCCCAAACATAATTACAATTTTATATTGTCACCCTCAAAATAACTTCCTTCTGACGCTAAACGGCGCTGAAGGCGGTTCTTCCGCTCTTCATAGCAGTGCTGGAACTATACCGGAATAGTCTTCAGCTGGAAAAAAGAGTAAAAAGTCACAAGGACTCAAGTCAGGCGAATAAGGAGGCTGAGGAGCCACATGAATGTTTTTACTGTGTGACAAGGAGCATTATCGTGATTCAACACCCAGTTGCTCTTTATCTGATGAACGGAGGTGTGAGTCAAATTTAACTCTTAACCGATCATTCTGACTGTCAACTGACGATCTTAACGCACAAGATTCCCGATTGTGTCAATATTTTGATCGGCTCTTAGAGATAAAGGCCTTCCGCTTCGTAATGCATGTTCATTCGACTCTCTTTCTTCTGAAAATGCCTTAAACCGCCGAAATACTTGGACTCTTGACAAAACACTATCTGCGTAGGCCTGCTGGAGTTTAGTAAGAGTTTCCATTGCACTATACCCAAGATTGAAGCAAAACCTGATAGTACACCGTTTCTCGAAATTGATGTCACTCATTTTTAGAACACATTAGAAAAAACTGTTTCACATAAAAACTATCCACGGACAACCAAATGACTCGACCGAGTCCAAACTCGTACTGAAGGCGGATCACGTTTTCCCTGTTTGCCCTCCAAGCCCGGCGCCCTCCAGTGTTGCTAGATCGAACGCCATGTTGGCAGTCTCAAAACTTAATTTACAGGCCTTGTATTCCGTCTTTACCCTCAAGGCACGAACCCAGGACCCCGGCTTGATAGATGGGCCCCAAACGCCTTCAGCTCAAAACGTTCAAGAACCAACCCCCAAAGCTCTTCAATTTTTATCAATGGCAAAGTAGAGGCTAGGATCCAGTTGTGCCCTGGGGCTCCTCCAGCCGTGGGCTTCTGTGAACTTAGGGGCCCGTACATAGTTTAAGCCAGCCCTGCTGAGGGTTGCCAGGTATAGGCGATCTGTTTTCGATAGATTTGTGCATAATTTTTCGATAGCTGCTATGTGAAAAATTGAAAAGTTACACTAATCGAAAATGAAAGTGTACGGGAGACGGGGTCAAATGGCTCAGTTCTTGTGTGTCATCGGATTGAATCAGAAATGTATGAGAACTAGCTGACCCGACAGACCAGAGTTTCCCATCCTTTTTTTTTTGTTGAGGCTCCCCGGACTATAAATTATATTTTCACGCCCCCCCCCCCCCCTTTACTTTTTCAATAAATACAAAAAACATACATTATATAGCTACACAGACTTTTATTTTAATAACGAAACTTTAGAAGTTTAAATAAACTAATACATGTTTTTTATCGAAAAACTTGAACAAAATAAGAGTAGGAGGTACTGATGAGATACTTAAGATTACATGTTCTGTACCAGTGGGTTGATTCTAGGTTCTGTTTTTGCCAGAACTATCATCAGGTCGCTAATCGACATCAAGACGATTTCGCTGTTTAGTTTTAATTAAAACTAGAGCAGAAAAGCCTGTCTCACATAAGTAAGTTGAAGAAAAGGAACTAGTATTTGTAAAGCAAGAGAGGTAAGTGTCGAATTAACAGGCAAAATTTCTCCAATGTTAAAAGATGGAAGTCATCTTTCATGGTCGAATCAGCCTTCATTTCTAGAAATTCTTCCTGAACTTCTTCTGGTAATTGTGACACATCGACAACAAATAGATTTCTTGTCATGTGCCATATTGATGACTCGATAGTATCGGCAAAATTCATATTATAGTGTTGTTTCTGCCCTGAAGTTTCAAGTTTAGCTCATTCAAGGAGTCAAGTGTGTCATCTTTGAACATTGTCAAGAAATCGTTTTCTATGAACTCAAGAAAAAGAATTACTTTCGATTCATAAAGGCGTTGCCATTTGACAGCCAGAGTACTTCTGAATGGAACAGAAGAACTTTGTGATCAGAAACGAGATCCTCGCAAAGTAAAGTAAATAACCGACTGTTCAAAGGGCTGCTCTTGATGTAGTTTACAATACTTATAGCCGAGTCCAAAGTCTGGTGTAATTTCTGTGGCAATGTTTTGGAAGCCAAAGCTTGCCGATGAATAACACAATGTGTTACAACCATTACGAGATTTTTTCCTTGAGCTTTTTAACTAAGCCCGATCGTACACCTATCATTGCATGTGCGCCATTTGTGCAAAGTCCAATGAGTTTCTTACAATCCAAATAATTTTTTTCAACAACATTTGATATTGAATTAAATATATCTTCAGATGAAGTACCTGCTGTCAAAGATTGGGAGTACAAAATATCTTCTTGAATGTTATCTCCGCCGATGTAACGAACATAAACTATTAACTGTGCACAATTAACGTTGCCGGTGTATTCATCGCAACTAATGGCAAAAATGGCGATAATTTTACTTTGTTAATTATTTGTGACTTTATGTCTGTTGCAATGTCATCGATTCTACGCTTGACCGTATTTTTCGAAAGAGAAATAGACTTAATTTTTTGCTCTGCATCTTCTCCTAAAATTATCTGCGTGGCTTTTAGGACACATGGTTTTAGTAATTCTTCACCGATAGTATAAGATTTCTTTTGCTTTAATATCATAAAAGCTATTTCAAATGAAGCTGTGAGATGCTGCGATACACCTGTCTGATAACTTCCCGATTTATCCAGTCTGATCCGCTTGAGTGATTCTGCTTTAGAAGAAAAAACTCTTTCGTCTTCAAAACCAGAGTAGGATGTTGTTGCTTCAAATGCCTTTCAAGGCGATTGGGCCTCATGCTATCATTACTTAAAACTTACTTAAAACATATCACACACTGAGGCAATTGTAACTCCTATTTTTCTATGAAGGTAAATCCAAATTTAACGTCATCTTCGGAAAACTTTTTTTCGCTGCAATTTTGCACCTATAACAATAAAGCAAAAAAATAAATAAATAAGAAAAATACCTACATTTACTATTAGTATTACTAATTATATGCCCATTATTCTTAATAACCTCAACAGTATATTGGCCACCGGGAGATTTATATTTTTGTAGACAGGTTGAGGTTATAATAGTAATTTTAAATACATTTGGAATCAATATTAGGTACTTAAAGTTCGTCGTTTCAAAATTTCGCCACGTTGGTTTGATTGTGATGTGGTAAAAAAGTCCCAATGGTCGATCTATGAACGGTCTCCACTCAATCAACAATTTAGTAAATTAAATAAAAATGGTAACTGAACTGAACTCCTGCGACAGACGTTGTCCTGACTTAGCTATAAACTGGGATGAATACTGAATAATGAAAGGGTAAATATATGGAAAATAATCTAAAAAGATGGTTAAGGAATTTCAAGAAGACATTGAAAGATCACCACAACTCTACACAGTTTTTGCAAAAAACAACGATTTTTTACAGTTTCACTTCTATTTTCCTTAGTACTATACAGTGTATGTTATATTCTTATAATTTAAAGCATCCTTTTGTACAAAACGCAAAAAAAAACAGTCGATAAAACAGTATTCTAATCTAGAGTAATACCACCAAAAATGCAACTTTGAAGTTCTATAGAATAGTAAGCAGAGGTTTCCTTAAAAAAAATTATATTTTCGTAAAAGTTACATCCTAATCTTTCATTTTAAAATAAGGAATTAAATATGCGCTAAAGTATAGTCTTATCAAGAAAATCCCTGGTTGCTGAAGGGACAGGTGAGAAGATATGCTACAGACAGGGATATTGATGAGAGTAAAGAGGCCATTAGTTTTTATTTCGAGTCATTTAGATTTTATTGAAATTTATTTTGCGATGTCCATAGAAAATACAAATCACCGCCTAGATGTGAAGCATTACGAAAATGTTTGATGTGTGATGCGTCATTACTAATTTTTCTGTGATGTGGCTTAAATGCACGCGGGCGCGATGGCGAGTTCTTGTAGAGCTGCTTAAAGTGTTTGAAAACACAAAAAACGTGAAAAATCGTAATCTGTTACTTTGAAAGGACAACATATAAATAACCCGTTGACAGCATATTCAGTAATAATTTACTCACACAGCAAATATCACTGATTTTATATAAATGCAGACCAATAAACATAATCATCCAGATGCGATCTTGCTATTAAACCAACTTTCTTCTCAGAGATGAAAACTACCCAGCTTCACAAAACATATGCAACCAACAATGCGAGTAGTTGAGTCATTCCTCCATAGATGGACGCTCGCAGCGGTGACACCGAGCAATCGTGGAATCAACTATTTGCACCCTAAAAACTACCTAGTTTGCAAGAAGAGATTTTATTGCTTTTTTGACGTTCTTTAGATTTGTTGCATAATATATTAGATCCATTTTTCAGACGGGCTGAAATAATGCCAAAGAACAAAATAGTCTATAGAACTATTTGACGTTCTTCCAAAGGTGTTGAAGGACCCTGTATTGAAAATTAAACGATTCTACATGTTCTGTTTAGGGAGGGAAAATTGAATTAGCGTGACGAGGCCGAGACCTAGAATGAGTGGGTCAATGGGATTCGTCTTTATTACTTTGAAAGATAATAGGAAAAGCGAATAACGCCTGCATTTTACGATCCATTTTATCGCCATTTGATAAAAGCCGACGTTATATGATATATGCGGAACAAGCTACGTTCATAAAACGGAACGGTTTAGGTTGTAAGAGTGTTTATGCTCATTTGAAAATTATCTCGCTAGATGCCGTAAGTCACGTAGGCAAATTAAAAATAGCACCTACTATGAACTTGCAAAAAATACAGTACAAAACTATGTCCCCGAAAATGTAAGTCAATCACTGGGGTGTACAGCACAGAAATAAAAGAATCTTATGAAAATATCCGCAGGAACGAATCCCGGTGGAATATCGTTAGAAAACGACGAAGGATCGCCAGATGATGCTAAAGATAATTTTTTAATGTCTTACCGGTCAGTCGTGTATGGCTTTCCTTTGATATACATATATCAAGCACGCAAAATGCAGTTTGAGCACCGTACACAGTAGGTGCCAATGATAAGGTGACGTGGTGAAATACATGGCCCACAATTTGACAAAGAGCGTCACGTTCACCACACCGTGGGAGTTATGGTATGGGGTGCTATTGCTTATGGTAGCAGATCACCACTAATTTTGATCAGAGGCAACATGACAGTCCGACGCTATATCCAGGAAATAGAGGAGCTTCATCTAATTCCATACCTAAACACCATCCAAAACCGCTTTCAGCAAGACAATTCCTGACTGCATGTTGCCAGAGCATCGTTAGCCTTCACGGAGCAACATCGCACCTACCGTTTACCTTGGCCACCACGATCGTCTGACCTATCTCCAATTGAACATGCCTGGGAAATGATAGGTCGCAGGCTCTTGAATTATCAACACCCTCCACAGACTTTCGCAGCTCTTACTCACGAAGTTGTAGTAGCCTGGAATGACGAATCAAGCTGAAAATTTAATACGGGACACTGAACATAAATATGCCAAAAATTATTAAAATCGGATAAACATACGTAGCCCAACTAACAATTATCACTCCTATTAGAGTTGCAAGAATGATTATACAGTATTCCTTACACAGCATTGTATACTGTAAGAACATTGGCAAAACCTTCTTAGAACAGCTATACAAGCGGAATGGGCACACCTAATAGGACATTTCAGTCATTTAAGAGGTTGTATAAGGTCTGCAGGTAACAGTTATACAACAAAAGTGTAAGCCTCTTTCAGCCGCTATAGGACATTTGCATCAGCGCAAGATTCTGTTTTTGTCAACTATACAACTATTCTGTTACGTGATTCTACTTTATTGCAAAAAAACTATTTCTTATGTATTGTATAGATGATGTGAAGAATATATAACTAACACAATACAGTCATCTTATTTACTTACATATCGGCCATTGTGAATTTCATACACAGGTATATGATAAACTTCTACACTGTGAGATAGGGCTATTGAATTACTTGCGCAGCAAATTTTATTGTGATTATCGTGCAAAATTTCTACGGGCTTCGTATTTGATTCATATTTTGATAATGATCAAAAAAGTATGTCTAGATTTTTAAGATGGAAAACTGAACTTATCTGCGTTAAATCTTCCACAAATCCTATATTTAGACACAATTACACTAATGTTTATCACTTTATATCTGTAATTTCGAACTGAAACATAATTATTTAATATCAAATAGAGGAATAAATGTTTGCCCAATATGGCGGGTGGTTGTGTATAATCATTGCATCGTCCATGTTTCTTTAGTTTATTAGAATATTTTGGTGTTGCCTGCAGGTGTTATACAACAATTTGAGCAATTTGTTGGCTAAAGTAGTAAATTTGCGCAGCAAAACAACAAGGTTCGGGTTTGATTTATAAACGTTACTATGGATGTCACAACACAACCATTTTGACTAACCTACAAATATGCCGTATAAAATAGTTGTATAAACGTTTATGCAACAGTTAAAAATTTGTCCTATAAGGTGTTGTGTAACTATGCTATAAGAATATTTTAAACACCTCATTTTAGAGCAAATATGTTGCAGAAAGCAAATTTGCATTCCACACAACATTAAGCCAGCATTTTGGTGTTCAGGCAACAACAATAGAGAACTTTTATGGCTGAACGATTCTTTTACCAAAAGCTTATAGCACTACTTTGCTAGTTGGGAGGTATTTACCTTTTTTTGTGTAATCTGATGTGGCTCAACAAAGCCCAAAAAGAGTTTTACAGTCTGCAAGACCATTGCATCCAAGCTGTTGCAGTTGCAAGCCGGCATTGTTTTTGTCTGACAGACATTCGCATCCATTCGCTTACAGTTACAAGGCGACCCTGTTTCCTCGATTCAAACAACCTAGCCTACCTAAACGAATGAAACATTTCCTGTCACATTACTAAACTATAATTTTGGTCTTTGTTTTGTATCGTTCAGAGTACATGGTTTTAATATCCAAAAACTAGTTTCAATCCGTCATGACATATTTAAACCCTCCGGCAGGCGCGCTTTTAAAAATCACAAGAGCGGGCGCGCTGCGGAACTACATGCCGCAAGTAGAAAAACGCACGGATTAATATCAAAACATCCAAATTTATTGTATAATACAGTTTTAAAAAATCGAAGTTCTAAAAAAATGTATGAAATACTTTCTTCTAAAATATTACGAAAATAAAATGTAAATAAAAGTCAATTCTAATAAAGCAAACATTATTTCTAACAAAATCAAAAAATCTATTATTTCTTCCTAATCTTCTGTATCTTCTACTTCAGTAAGCAAACAATTTTGACAGGTAAAAGTCTTCATGTTGTGTCCCTTGCATATAAAATGTTGTCATAAATTACAAGTAAATGTCGTTCTGTTGTTCTTTTTAGAGCTGCAAATATGGCACCGTCCATTGGAATTTCTGGTATCTGCTACCTCAGTCTCAGACAGTGTACGATATTTTGAAAGAAATGCTGTTATATCCTTGGGAAGCGCTGAATTTTTAGCTCGATCTTTTAGATAATCTGCAAACAGCTCAAAAGCTAATTCGGTTAGAAAAATACGTCCTCTAGGAGGATCAGCTAAAGGCTTAGTATTATTTTAGATAATTTCAGAATTTATTCAAGCAATGTCAAGCATTCGAAAAAAAAAATGTAAGGGGCGATACGAGGGATGTCTTTTAAGTTTTGCATATAGAAAAATAGTAGGCCGCGCGGATCGAACGTCAGTACTGAATCTTAACCTCACTCTTTAGTAAACTTAAATTCACAGTTTCACAACAATACGTGCAGTGTTCTCACTACAGTAAATTTTTAAGTGTCACCAAGTCATTAGAAAAATGGAACTCAACCGAGAACATTTTCGCGCCATAACTTATTACAACTTTCAGAGACAATTATCGCAACAAGAATGCCTTGCTGAGTTACTGTCTGTTTTCGGCAACGACAATTTTCCGCTGATATGGAGAATTCAAACGAGGACGGGTGAGTCTTAGCGACGATCCCAGGGTGGGTGCACCAAAAACGGCAATCACCCAGGAAAACGTCGATGCTGTGCGCAAACTCATCATTGAAGATAGACATGTGACATATCGCGAGATTGAGGCGTCCTTGAAGATCTCAAAGACCTCAATTCAAAAACTTTTACATGAAGAATTAGGAGTAAAAAAATTAGTTTCTCGTTGGATACCCCACCTGTTGACTGAAGAGCAGAAAGCAGCCAGGGTTAATTGGTGTCAAAAAACGCTTGACCTTTTCAATTCCGGAAACTCAAAAAATGTGTACAGCATTGTTAGTGGTGATGAATCGTGGATTTACTGTTATGAACCAGAAATTAACGACAGTCGGCTGTTGGGTGTTCCAAGGTGAGGAAAAGCCAACAAAAGTCATCCGTCATCGAAGTGTTTCGAAAAAGATCGTCGCGACATTTGTGTCAAAAGCGGGTCATATCGCAACAATTCCTCTTAATGAGCAAAGAACTGTTACTGCGAATTGGTATACCACCATTTGTTTGCCAAAAGTCATCACCGAGCTTCGAAAAATCAAGGATCATCCTACACCAAGACAATGCAAGCTCGCACACAGCTCAAAAGACAAGGCAGTATTTAACGGAAGAAAATGTGGAATAGTTCCGATCTAAGTCCTAACGATTTCTTTACTTTCCCGAAAATTAAAAACAGACTGCGTGGTCAAAGGTTCCAGACACTAGAAGAATCAGTTGACGCATTCAAAAATGCCGTTTTGGATCTGCCAGCAAACGAGTGAAATAGGTGCTTCGAAGATTGGTTCGAGCGCATGCAGTTGTGTATTAATCTTCGTGGAGAATACTTCGAAAAACAATAAAGTCATTTAAAACTACCTACCGTGTTGTTTTATTTCCATATGCAAAACTTAAAAGACATCCCTCGTATCTTCTAGTAATTCTTTGTGTTGTGTAAAGATGCACATTTCTGGTCTACGGCATCAACGCCACATTTTGTTCTATTGTAGTCCAAAATGATCTGTGGCTTTTTAGTGGTCTCATCAATTTCACCTGCATCTTGCATCGTTGACAACAAGATTACCGCATTATTCTGTTTGCTTACATAAGAGGTTAGAGTCATATTATCTTGAAACCCAAATAGAGTGGTTCCTACTTGACGTGAAGTATTTGGTAGAAAATCGGGTGGAATTTCTTTTTTGTTTTTTTTCATGGTACCAGTTAACGTCAGTCCATTCTGAAGGAGATATTCGGCTAACGGATAACTAGTATAGTAATTCGAGCATAGTAGACGGGTGAGGAGATTTAGCCAATAATTATTATCAAAAACTTAATATAGTGGAAAGGTGGCATAAAGTGCCGATAGCGCGCCCGCCGGAGAGTTAAGGCCAACGGCATCAGTAGTAGTGACGCCTCCATTAGTGATTTTCCTCAGAGAGGTCTTTCTCGGAAGATTGATCAACTGACGAGTTGCATAGCATATCAATGAAATCTCCCAAGATCCCGCATTGTGCACCAGCCAAGCTTCAAGGTCACATTAAATACCTCAAGATCAGTAAAGCACCTGGAGAGGATCAAATCACCAATAAGGCGCTGAAGCTGCTTTCGCGGAAATCCTTAACTCATCTCGTGGCTATAATCAATCCCATGCTAAGCACCTATTACTTCACCGGAGTGGAAGAAATTGAAATTATCATAATTCCAAAGGTGGGTTCAATATTCCCACAGGATTAATTACCGTTCCATTAGCCTACTGTCAGCTCCTGCCAAGCTCGTTGAAAAGGTGAGAATTTCAGATCACCATGTGATTCCTGACGTGCAATTTAGCTTTCGGTCTTGGCATAATACGGATATACAGGCGACTAGGTTTTTTGAGCGAGTAACCAGGGGCTCCATCCTTAACGAAAATACTGGCATCTTGCTTCTGGATGTCTCATTCTGGTTTCTAAAACGTTTGAAGTCCTTCCTTGGAGGTAGAATATTTGGGATCAAAATTAATAATGTTCTTTCGACTACACGGCCCATCAGAGCCGGTGGCCCTCAGGGTTCGGTTCTTGGACCAATCGTTTGTTCGCTTTTTATTCATGATGTGCCTTGTCCCAGCAACTGTGAAGTCTATCCCTATGCTAATGACATTGTCCTGGTGGCTCAGTCGTGTTCTGGGAATCTAGTTCCCGATGGGCCGCGTAATTTTTCTACAATAGCGAATCGCTAAATTAATTTTAGGATCAATTAAAAATTCCCGAATACTAGTTAACAATGCCAAGGCACCATTAAAACTGACGCACTTCCTTCTCTTTGCTCTCCATCCTTTCTTTCTCCCTGACTTTGTCTGGTAGCTGGGCCACCAGACCTGACAGACCTACTGAGACGATACGTTAACCTCCGGACCGCTCTGACAGACAATGACGAATAAAGAGAAAAACGATCAAACGTAGGCATATCTGTAAACAATTAAATATAAGCACACAAGCCACCGGACTTGCCTAGGGACATTTGCATGCAAGTTACTAACTATTCCACCAGAATTGCAGACAAGCTTGCATGGACAATCCAACTGCTTACCGGTAGGGCAGGGAAAGAATGTCGATGGACTAATTGTATGGACCTGTTTGACTGACTTTTTTCTCAGAGAGTCTAGTTTGTGCTGAACATATTCCTCTACGTGTCTACGTACTGATAAGGGAGTCAACCTACTTGACGCCATTTTTTTGATGGCTCCAGCAACCTTTATCAAAATAAAAATGGCATTACTGCTTTATTAATTTCCGTTGAAAAGCGTTAACTATTCATCTACGACTAATATGACGATATCACGAAAAAGGTCACTTATTAAAATTATGACACCCACCGCTAGGCTAACCGCTTCATTTTACGGGGAGTCTCTGTTTGAGAGCCGGCAATTAACATCCTTAATTTATCTGTCCTAGAAAATTTAGGTGGTGATGAACGACGCTTAGGAAACCTCCACACATATACGTATAGTATAGTTATTATTAATTCGTCTAATCTTGACCCCATTTTGGTAAGCGAGAAAAATGCATTCCGTCTGACGAATCGGTCGAATAGCTGTTGTGTATATAGACGTAGTATTTGCGTTAAATGAGAATGGACATTTCAGTATCATAACGTATTCTGTATAGCCAACCATGTACTATATTTGGGCGTCGAAAAAAGTATCCGAGATGAAATAAGATACCTTGACGTCATATATGAGAATTTTTCACAGCTATGTTTCTCTTCTCACAATAACTATAAATCTACTATGAAAATATTAGTCCCTCATAGATGACACTATAGCCAACTATACAGGGTACCTCAATCTCGACCCTCACCATTGGGATCTCGGAAACTGTATGTATAAAAGGCATGACTAGAATTTCAATATGATGTTTGCTTTCTTATCCTCCAGCATCAACTTTATTTTTTTTTATAGGCGCCTTACTGGATTTTTGCACAGATGAATAGCTTTTAACCTTGAATCCAAAAATATCATACTTACCATTATCAAACCTTAGTTTTTTTAAAAAAGCATAATTTCCTAGGTAGGCATTGAAATTATCAGATAATCTTCTGTTTACCAGATTTAGCCCAGTCGCTATTATTTTTTCACGACTTTGTTCGAGATGGGATTTCAGAATGAATTGCATATTGTTATTGCTACTTATTCTCCTCTAGAAGATGACGTAGTCAAATTTTCAATTCGACATTTCTTCTTTCGACTTCGATCTCCAACTTTGATTTTTCATATGGACGCTATATTTGAATATTAAAGTCCTAAGTTCAGTGATGCGTTTCCTTAGCTGGCCATGAATTAATTGTTTGATGAAAATTATAAAGAAATAAAATGATATGGTGAAACCCGAATACAAAATGAAAATTTTATTGATGGTAATAACAATAGTAATCATAAATAAGCAGAGATAAAATAATAGCAGATGATCAAAATGTTGTCCGTTATTTTGTAGACAAAGCCTGACTCTTCTCTGTACAGTAATCACTGCTCGATTTATTTCCCTTCTTCTCAGTCTTCCAAACTCTGTTGCTATGTTTGATTTGATGCCTCGCCTGGTATACTAAACAAAAGAAATAATAATTTCAAGGAACTTCTGTTTTTCTAGATGAACTAAGGTTCGGCAATGTCCATATATGACAGACACATTATACATTTTTGAAATCAGAATTAAAAAATCCATTCGCCTGCGCAAAAATACAGCGTCCATAAGAAAAAATACAGTTAATGCTGGAGGTCGTGAGACGAAACGTCATATTGAAATTCTAATTATACCATCTTGTAGAGGAGAAAAAATGGCAATGTTAAGATGCAATTTATTTTGGAATTCCATCCCCAAATGAATTCAGGAAAAAATAAATGTGATATACGCTATTACATTGCAGGTAATTGCATGGTATGACTTTGGAGTGATTATGTATTTTTATAGTACCATTTATCAAATTAGCCGCTAGGGTCCATTCTCTGATACTGCTTATACATACATATATTTTTTACCTCATTTATATATATGATTATCTTATTATGATGTAAACCTAAAACCAGGGGTTAAGTGGAAGAGTGGATATGCCGAACTTCGCTTCTCCCACTATATGTTCATATAAAACTGGTTTTGCAACTTGTTTTGTATTTTTTGTGGGAATAAAGACATTATTATTATTATTATTATTATTATTACAAGACAAAATGGTTACAAAAAGGGAAACAGTGAATATTATGGCGAAATAGTATCCGCTGTATCTAAAACTATTTAACTCCCTATAAAAGTAAATATAGCAGCACAAACAAAAGATTCACTCAAATCATAATTATATAATAATATCTGTTAAACGTTGTCAAGAGACTAGTTTCAAACGGTTTCAAATTCGATTATGCTAGAACTCATTATTCTGCCAAAATATTTGTACGTTTGAGTTTATAGTGACAGCATTATACAAAAGTGACTGGATGATTAGAACGTACGAAACGAGTTTTTCCGGATTTCACAATCTTTGAATCCTTCAAATAAACTCTTGACTACGCCCTAAATTTATCAGCAAAGTTTTTTCTGAACTTTGTCTCCTCTAAGAAAATTTTTGATTGCCATCAAAATCAGAAACGAAAATAAAACATAAAGTCAAGTTTTGGGGAATTATAGATTTCAAAATCCAGTGATATTTTCCAAGTTATAGAAGGACCAATGATTAAATTAGTTTACTGTGTCGTAACTGGACCGATGAGCAATAACTTATAAATATTTTTCTGTAAGAGGGGCCTAAGGACCGGAAGAAAAACATCACTCGAACAAAATATAGCCAGCTTGATGAAAACAAGAGTTTTGCGTTTGTTTCAGTGTTCTTTTAATTTTTCAGGTTTTGGAAAATACAAATACAACATAAACTCAACAGTCCGTTCAATGGAAAATCACTTTAAGAATCCATCTAAATGTTCTAAGGACATAATCGCCAGTCCTGCCTTAACACCACACAAACATAAATTTGAACTAATAAATCCTCTGACAAAAAAATGTATCGAAATGACCCGCCTACACACTAGCAGAGTATTCGTATCTATTATCTATATATATATATATATATATATATATATTACCTACAAAAATCTTATTGGTTGATCATTATGTGTGAATAGGTTAAAATGGTATTTGCCTCCTGACTTGACTGATAGGGCAACGATAATCATAAGTGATAACATGATGATCTGTCATTTTTCTAACGACAAGTCAACAGAACTTGTTCTTATGAGAATTTTCCACATTTGGATTGCACACACACTTGATTGAAAGTTGGAAATAGTTGAGTGGAGCTTTCTTTCATCTCGTGCAATATTTTTACATTCAAATCGAACCCCGAAGGTTGTTTCTATTTCTGCCCA